ACGAGGCAACCGCAGCCCTGGAGGAGTGGCTTGCTTCGCCAATAACTTTGTGAACCTTAAGCTTTGGGTTTTTCTTATTTAGTAGGAATTTTAAAGCTTAACCTTCTTTGTAGTCCTTGGTTTTTGGGAGAAGCAAGGTGGGAAGCTTCGTGCCCGGAGGGTGAGTTATGTGAGTTGGCCGAGCGCGCCAACGCCTTCGCCGTGCAGAAGGTGCAGCAGTGGTGGCAGCTGGCTTGGCAGCTCATTGCCAAGTACGGCCGCTTGGTGACCACCTACAACGAATCCGACAAGGGGGTGGATGCAGAAGGCCAGAAGTATCCCCTCTGGTGGCTGAGAAGCCCAGACGTTGGCTTCACCTTGTGGACACCCACCGGGCCCTTCCATGGCCTTCCCTATGGGAGTCATGAGAGCACGGGCCTGGATGCCCAATGGCCCATGGATCTGGACACCCAATGGATCTCATGCCTTTGCATTTTGATGCTTTTTGCAATCACCTACGTCTTGGGCCTGCAACACGGCCGCCGCATGGAGTGCAAGGTCAGATCCTCTGGATCCTCTCTACCGTTTTCTGAGGGCTTCGACTTGAGGCGATTCTCCGGAATGTGTCAGCCCTATGGTCTGTGGTCTGTCCTGATGAATCTGTGCGCTGCACCCCCATGCTGGGATCCCGAGGATCCTACGGCAGCACCAGAAACTGCGCAGACACCGATGCTCAGCCGCTGGCGTTGACAACTGAAACTGTTTAGGGTTTATAGGGTTTATAGGGTTTAGAGGGTTTATAGGGTTTATAGGGTTTATAGGGTTTATAGGGTTTATAGGGTTTATAGGGTTTATAGGGTTCATAGGGTTCATAGGGTTCATAGGGTTTATAGGGTTTGTAGGGTTTATAGGGTTTATAGGGTTCATAGGGTTTATAGGGTTTGTAGGGTTTATAGGGTTTAGGGTTAGGGTTTAGGGTTTAGGGAATGAAGCTAGAGAGAGTTGGCAAGTTTGCATCCAATCCAGCGATTGGTCTTCCTGGCGCTGGTGTTGATTTGTCAACTTTCGGCCCTAAACCCTAAACCCCAAAACCTAAACCCTTAATGCTTGATCCTAGAGGAGAGACAAGTGTTTGTCAACGCCAGTTTGTGGGGCAACGAACAGCGTTGACGTCTCAGGACAAGTTACATGTTTTCTGGTCTGTTGTGGCGCATGCCTTCGAGAAATGAGTGGCCGTATATGCACCCTGCAGCACAGATTTCAGAGAAAAAAGGATCCTATTTCTTGTTGGGCAAAGATTGCTCAAGGAATTATGTGTCTATAATTAGGGGGCAGGGCTAGGGCCCGAGCCTCTAGCGCCGAGAAATTGGCGTTGTGCAGATTTTGGGTGTCATCACCTCTGTTTTGGGCCTACAGTATGGCCACCGCATGGAGTGCAAGGACACCCATGGGAACTATGTTTCCGCTGAGCCATAGGGGCAGGGCTAGGGCCCGAGTCTCTAGCGCCGCAAGCGAGAAAGTGTTGTGGTGCGAGGCATCCAGGAAGAAAACAGAAGCAGGTGCCCAATTCCCCCCGTCCACACCCCTATTCAGGGGTAGACTTGAACATAATCTTTAATTCTTATTACCCTTAATCCCTATACAATCCTTATAAAACCAGGGCCCTCAAACCTGCCCAGCATCAAACTAGAGTATGGGCAATGGCAGAGGGAGGTTCCCCTGTTCCTAGCGTAAGCCCCGGTGCCAAGAATGCCAGAGGGTTTAGGGTTTAGGGTTTAGGGTTTAGGGTTTAGGGTTTAGGGTTTAGGGTTTAGGGTTTAGGGTTTAGGGTTTAGGGTTTAGGGCTTGCTTGCTTTCGATTTGCCATGTCGCGCATGAGGGAAACAGATGGCGATCTCCTTTCGATGTTTCTGCTCTTCTCCCTCCCTTTCCCGAGAGCCCTGCGCCCTCAGCCTTTAAACCCATCAGCCACTTACTAAGTGTCGCGAAGCTCATACAAGTGTTGATGGTGTAAGTTTAGGGTTTAGGTCTGGGGCGTTCACAGCTTGTCGGCTTTGGGGCTTGAGGTTCAGGGCCTTTAGGTTTTGATGCATTAGGTTGGTCGTGTGTGATTTAGGGCTCTTTGTGGATGTCCTAGAGGGGTGTCCGGATTTTAGTGGTTCAGGGCTTCACCTCGCCTCCGCAATTGTAAGGTTTAGGGTTTAGGATTTAGGGTTTAGGCTTTAGGCTTTAGGCTTTAGGGTTTGGGGAGCCCCCAAGTGACAAGAAGGCCATGAAGAAGGCCACGCATGAGGTCTCCCACACCCTCTTCCACCAGGCAAGTGTAGCATTTTTGGCTGAAGGCTGGAGCTACTTGCGATCGCCCGACGAAAGCACCTCTCACGCCGACTTCCATGTCTCATTCCCTTGAAGGTTCAGTGCCACGCTCATTATAGGGGATCTTCTTTTCTTGACACGGCTCTGGTCTGCTTTTTGATCCGCCATGTCGCGCATGATTTTCGGGAAGCCGAGTAGCATCCTGCTCAGCAGCTTGCTGTGGTCTTTTGGGGAGGCCTGCACCATCATTGCCGTTGGCAAGGATGCAAGCGCCACCGGCTATCCCATGGTCTCTCACAGTGACGACAGTGGCCCAAGCACCACGGACGTGCGCCTTGTGCGGGTGCCGAGGAAGCAGTGGCCAAAAGGCTCCGTGCGGAAGCTCTACGAGTGGCGCATCCCCTACCCGCGCCTCGTGAGTTCTCACATGGCGCCCGCGTACCATCCGCTGGAGGGTCAGGAGGAGTTCGAAGTCATTGGTGAGATCCCGCAGGTGGAAGAAACATGGGGCTACTGGGACACGGAATATGGCATGCAGAACGAGTGGGGCCTCTCCATCGGCGAGAGCACGGCCACGGCCATGACGGTAGGCTGGGCGGCGGCCAAGGACAAGCCCTGGGGCAAGAACCGCGTGGGCATCGAAGACCTTACGAAGTTGGCCATGGAGCGCTGCAAGACAGCCAGGTGCGCGGTGCAGATGATGGGCGACATCGCCGTGGAGCAGGGGTTCTACAGCGCTGACTCGGGGAGTCCCGAGGCCCCAGCCTATGGAGGTAGCTCGGAGGCCCTCGTCCTCGTAGACGCGGATCCAGGGGAGATGTGGGTCTTCAACGTGCTCACGGGCAAGCAGAATGCCTCGGCCATCTGGGCTGCGCAGCGCCTACCCAGCGACCATGTGGCGGCGGTGGGAAATTCCTTCACCATCCGCAGCCTGGACCTGAACGATCCGGAGAACAACCTCTTCAGCCCAAAGGTGACGGAGATGGCAGAGGAGATGGGGTGGTGGAGCCCGAAAGAAGCAAAGTTCGAGGGCGACTTCGACTTCTTCGGTGCCTATGGCTACCAGCCCTACGAGTATAACACGGCCGCAGGGCAGTTGCAGTTCACCAAGAACCTGAACAGCTTCTATAGCGGCCGCCGCATGTGGCGTGTCTTTAGCCTGCTCAGCCCAGAGGAGGGGGGCAAGTTGGACCCTGAGCTCGGAAACCTGCCCAAGACCAAGAACCCCTACCCGCCCTCGGTGAGGGCTCCCAAGCATTCGGTGACGCGCCGCATGGTCATGGACGCGCTGCGGGACCACTACGAGGGCACCCCCTACGACCTCACCAAAGGCATGGCGGCAGGTCCCCACGGGACGCCCAACCGCGGACCCGTTCACGGCCTGGCAGGTCAGTGGGAACGTGCCATCTCCATGTACCGCACCAGCTACTCCTACGTCCTGGAACCTCGCCCCCATCGCCGCAGCCTCACCTGGTTCGGCTACGACGCAGCGCACGGCACCGTGTGGCTGCCCTTCTACGGAGCCTCAGAAATCCCAGCACCGGAGATGTACAGCGCCCACGGCCTGAACATGTCCACCTTCAACACCCAGGCAGCTTGGTGGGCCTTCAACCTCATCAACCAGTACTCTGACCTGAACTTCCAGCTCATCAACGCGGAGGTTCGGGCTCGGGCGTTGGAGATGGATCACGAGGCAACCGCAGCTCTGGAGGAGTGGCTTGCTTCGCCCCAATAAAATGAGCTTTACACTTTGGTTTTTTCCTATTTAGAAGGAGTAGTCAAGTTTGACTCTGACTATTTTTAATTGGCTCTGGGTGAAGCAAGGTGGGAATCTTCGTGCCCGGAGGGTGAGTTATGTGAGTTGGCCGAGCGCGCCAACGCCTTCGCCGTGCAGAAGGTGCAGCAGTGGTGGCAGCTGGCTTGGCAGCTCATTGCGAAGTACGGCCGCTTGGTGACCACCTACAACGAATCCGACAAGGGGGTGGATGCAGAAGGCCAGAAGTATCCCCTCTGGTGGCTGAGAAGCCCAGACGTTGGCTTCACCTTGTGGACACCCACCGGGCCCTTCCATGGCCTTCCCTATGGCAGTCGCGTGAGTACGGGCCTGGACACCCAATGGATCTCATGCCTTGGCGTTTTGATGCTTGGTGCAATCACCTATGTTTTGGGCCTGCAACACGGCCGCCGCATGGAGTGCAAGGTCACCCATGGGAATTATGTGTCCATTGAGCCATAGGGGGCAGGGCTAGGGCCCGAGTCTCTAGCGCCGAGAAGTTGGCGTTGTGCTGATTTTGGGTGTAATCACCTCTGTTTTGGGCCTGCAACATGGCCGCCGCATGGAGTGCAAGGACACCCGTGTGAATTCTGTTTCCGCTGAGCCATAGGGGCAGGGCTAGGGCCCGAGTCTCTAGAGAAGGTGGCGAGGCATCCAGGGAAACAGAGAAGCAGATGCCCCACTCCCCCACGTCCGCACCCCCATCAACCTCAGACCGAAGTTCCCCTCTTCCGAGCATAAGCCCGTGTAACAAGAATGCCATGAATGTTTTTTTTTGACACGGCTGTGGCATGCTTTTGATTCGCCATGTCGCGCATGAGGGCTTCGATTCAGAGATGGCGATCTCCTTTCGATGTTGCTGCTCTTCTCCCTCCCCCTCCCACCTAAAGCCAAGCACCCTCAGCCCTTAAACCCATCGGCGCCCTGACAGGCTGGTCGCTGGCTAGCAGAGCTGCGCCGATCCTCGACTCGGGAAGTGTCGCGAAGCTCATACAAGCTTTGATGGTTTGGGGTTTCGGTTTTGGGGGGTTCACAGCATGTAGGCTTTGGGGATTTAAGTTAGATGCTTTAGGTTGGTCGTGTGTAATGAGGGCTTGTAGGATGTGCCAGAGGGGTGTTCGGATTTTAGCCGTTCACGGCTTCACGGCTGTAGGACTTAGGGAACTATTTAGGGGTTTAGGATCAGGTTTCTTGGGCACGGGTGAAATCCAAAATATTCCCAGCAGTTCCAAAGCAATCAAAAAAACAGAAACAATCAACAAAACATCCAAAAAGTAAGAAAGAAGCATCCAACAACATCCAAGACATTGCCCAACACATCCCAACAAAACCTCCAAACACAACAACATATTCCAAGAAATCCCCAAAACCCAAAAACGTGCTCTCTTGTGTTCGAGTTTGTGTCTGTGCGTGGGTGCATTGACAACAAGGATTCGGCATCCACATAATAATCCTTGGGAATGTTTGCAGATCTGTTGGAAGACGTGGAATGTCCTGGCAGGTTGCATGAGCCGGACAGAAACCCTAAACCCTAAACCCTAATTAACCCTAAACCCTAAACCCTAAACCCTAAACCCTAAACCCTAAACCCTAAACCCTAAACCCTAAACCCTAAACCCTAAACCCTAAACCCTAAACCCTAAACCCTAAACCCTAAACCCTAAACCCTAACCCTAAAGAGACCTGCGGGCTCCTTCATGCGAGGTTTCTTCCGCTGTCCTCAAATCAGCTCGCAAAGACTTGGCCGAAGCAGAGGACTTTCGGTTTGGGGTTTAGGGTTTGGGGTTTGGGGTTTAGGGTTTAGGGTTTACGGTTTGGGGTTTGGTGTTTGGGGTTTAGGGTTTGGGGTTTAGGGTTTAGGGCAGAGTGAGCAGCTGGGGGCAGGTTTTTCTGACGACAAGCTCTTATCACTAGACTCTAAACCCCAACCCGAAGCCCTACTATAAGGCTCTGTCGGTCTTTTCCCGTGCTCGTCTCCAGTCTCAGCGAGAGATCTATAGGTGTTCGAAGCATTTTTAATTTGAGAAGATCTATGTTCTGGGTGTAGGGTGCAGGAAAACCTAAACCCTAAACCCTAAACCCTAAACCCTAAACCCTAAACCCTAAACCCTAAACCCTAAGGGTAGGATTTAGCGGAGTAGAGCTTAGGGCTGGAAGGTCTGTTTTGGGAATTAGGGTTCAGGGCCTCGGTTCCCTTCACTTTCTGGGTGCTTTCGAGGTTTAGGGTTTAGGGTTTGGGGTTTAGGATTTAGGGTTCAGGGTTTAGGGTTTAGGGTTTAGGGTTTAGGGTTTGGGGATTTGGGGTTTAGGGTTTGGGATTTGGGGTTTAGGGTTTAGGGGTCAGGGCGTGTGTTAAGGCGCTTGGGGTCTACCGCTCGGGTTTGTGGTTTCCGGGATGAAACAGTAGTGGAGTGGATCCTCCACATAGGCCATGTGTTTAGGGTTTAGGGTTTGGGGTTTAGGGTTTAGAATTTCACGCTTTAATGCCTATATTCACTCGCTCACTCGCCCTTACGCACCCTTGGGTTTACCATTCCTTGGCGGGGGTTTGGCGGCTTTGCGGGGTATAGATGGCAAGTTGATCAAAAGACCTTCAGCCCAAACCCTGAACCCTAAGCCCATTGTGGTATGCAGGCTTCTGAGAAAAAGGCACCCTGACACTCCTTAGGGTTTAGGGTTTAGGGTTTAGGGTTTAGGGTTAAGGGTTAAGGGTTTAGGGTTTAGGGTTTAGGATCAAGGGTTTAGGGTTTAGGGTCCTTGCAGGAGCTTTGCGAGTGGCTCGAGCAGAATGCAAGCCAGAATGCAGGCCAGTGATGTCGGTTTAGGGCTTTCGGTGTCATGTTATGTCGGGTTCTGTGGTTATGGCCCGAGGTGTCAGGCAGCAGCACAATTTGCATTTTTTTTTTGCGTGTTGTGCTTTGGGATGTTCCCACTTATGCTAACAAGTAAGGACTGTTAGTATAGGGGGGACCATCCCAACCCCTAAACCCTAAATCCTAAATCCTTGATCCTAAACCCTAAATCCTAAACCCTAAACCCTAAACCCTAAACCCTAAACCCTAAACCCAAAACCCTAAACCCTAAACCCAAGTTACGCTGCTAAGGAACCCAACCCAGGCTAAGCAGCTCCGGCCTTGAGCTGTGGATTTTTGGGGTAAATTCCCCGAACCTCATAATTCAGTGACCTACTGGATCTTGAGGCCCTGGGTGCTACTTCCGCAGCAGGGTTTAGGCTTTAGGGTTTAGGGTTTAGGGCTAGGGTTTAGGGTTGAGGGTTTAGTTCCTGCTTGGGAGAACGTCTAAGGGCTTGTGGGGTTCAGGGAGGAGCCTCGCACGCGGGATGTGCCCGAGTCTTGAGCTCAACTGATCAGGCCCCTGCTTTTTGACATTCTGAAAAGAAACGGCTCCGCTCTTCGTCCCCCTACTTCTTAGTAGGGAATTAGGTACCTATAATATCCCCGGAAGATAGGGCTTCGGAGTTTGCAGTTGAGGATTCGCAGGGGTCTGAGTGGGGCCAGGGGAGCGTCCCTGTGGTTTTCGAGTTTAGGTTTAGGTTTACATGCTGTAGGCCCCAAGTGGTTGAGGATCAGTAGGGCGGGTTTCGCAGAACAAGCCTCGGCGTTAATCCCTAAACCCTTAAACCCTAAACCCTAAACCCTAAACCCTAGACCCTAGACCCTAGACCCTAGACCCTAAACCCTAAACCCTAAACCCTAAACGCCCCAAAGCCTAGGGACCAAGCTCCTTCGGGCCAAAATCCTGGTCGCCAATGACGACGACTTCGCGGGCGCACGGGGGCACAGGAACTGGTAGTAGAGATGTGGCCACTTACCCTAAACCCTAAACCCTAAACCCTCAACCCTAAACCCTAAACCCTAAACTCTAAACCCTGAATGGGGTTTGGAGATGCTTCCTTGCTCCGGTCTATGGGCTCTGGCAGCCTCAGATTATGCTCTTTCCACGTGACTGAACGCTAAACCCGCAACTCTGAACCCCAAACCCTAAACCCTAAACCCTAAACCTTAGACCCTAAACCCTAAACCCTAAACCCTAAACCCTAAACCCTAAACCCTAAACCCTAAACCCTAAACCCTAAACCCTAAACCCTAAACCCTAAACCCTAAACCCTAAACCTAAGGATTTTGATCAAGAACATAAATACATAAATATATGCAGTACAATAGAGACGCTATCTATCTACTATCTATCGATCTATCTATATCTATATATATATATATATATTTATATTTATATTTATATCTTCTATAGATCTATCTATTTATCTATAAATATATATATATATATGTATATGTATCATGCATAGCTTAGGAAAGCCGAAATTGCGCAATGCATCGTACTAGTCCAATCCACTCCTGACGCGCAGGTTTTGGCTCCGGAAACTAGCAGCCCCGGTGCTCTCTTCCCAACAACTTTAAAATGCGCCTGGCTGCTTTAGTTACCTTCTCAGCTGCATGGCGCCTGGGAGCGTCAGTGGGCTCTGGAAACATGAACGGAAAGCGCCTGAGCTGACGAAAGGCTGTAGCAGGAGGGTTATAGGGGTTTCGGGCTCTAGGGTTCTTGAGGGTTTAGGAGCCGCAGAATCACAGGCGCATTCTTGGCCGCCGCCTTCTTGAAACCCTAAACCCTATAAACCCTAAACCCTAACCCCAAACCCCAAACAGGTACAGCGTGGCCAGCGGTGCCCGCCAAGACGTGGGGTTTAACGACGACTATGCCTCGAAGGGCCACGAGTACTTCGATGTCTGGGCCCCCGAGATCGCCACGCACTACGGAAGCCCGGGCGGCGACGGCTTCCCTGTGTCCCTGAACCCTAAACCCTAAACCCTAAACCTTAAACCCTAAACCCTAAACCCCAAACCCTAAACCCCAATCCCCAAACCCTAAACCCTGTCCCTTGTTATTTCGGGCGTCTGGCCGAACCCTGAAGCCCCAAGCCCCCCCGTACTAAAACCCTAAACCCTGAAACCCTGAAACCCGAAACCCTAAACCCCAAACCCCAAACCGTAACCCTATTGCCCAGGAGAGGTCTTCTGGACGGATCAGGGGAACCAGCCGCTACCCCAGGAGATCGTGCAGCGCTTCAAAGGCAAAGTCATGGCCATCACCGGCTACGAGATGGACCAGGCACCTGGAAGTGTGTAGAGTTCTGCTAAAAGCATTGGGTTTAGGGTTTAGGGTTTAGGCTTTAGGGTTTAGGGTTTAGGGTTCGATTCATGGACTGGCTCTTTTGGGGGGTTTGTTGGGCATAGGGGCTGTAGATTAGAGCCCTTACATGTAGTTAAGTGTTTGGGGTTGAAGACCTTAGGGGATTTTGGGCTGATTCAGTAGGCTTTAGAGGCCTTGGGGCCCTTGGGGTTTTGGGTTTCTTGCTTAGGGTTTAGGGTTTAGGGTTTAGGGTTTAGGGTTTAGGGTTTCGGGTTTCGGGTTTCGGGTTTAGGGTTGGGGCTTGGGAGCCCGCAGCTTGTGGGTTTCCAGTTGTGGGCTTCGGGGCTTAACATGTGGGATGTCACCCCGCTGCAATGTATGGTCGTGTGCAGGAAAAGGCAATTGATCAATATACTACATATTCCCCTATGTCTGTATGGTTTACGTAAAGGAGCTAAGACTCTAAGGAGCTAAGATTCTTAGCTCCTTTACGTAAACCATACAGACATAGGGGAATATGTAGTATATGCATCTGTTTTTGCGTATGTGCATGCACATACTTTATTTGCAGATGTACATTTATATGTATATGTATGTGTATACGTATATGTATATGTATGTGTTTGTGTTTGGGTTTGTGTATGTGTATATATATATACCATATATGTGCAAGTTTTCCAAAGGTAGGTCGCGTGCCTTTCCCCCCCCCCCCCCCCCCCCCAGCTCCCCAAACCTTTGCCCCTAAACCCCCCAAACCCTGAACTGCAGACCCTACAATTCTATGCTGCAAGAACCTCATGATTTGATCAACGTCACAGCAAGAACCATTCCAAATCCCAAGCCTCTTTCTATGAAGTCCCGGGAACTACTGTCCCTAAACCCTAAACCCTGAGCCCTAAACCCTAAACCCTAAACCCCAAACTCTTTCAGCTTCCAGGTCATGGTGGAGCCGGTCGGACAGCCAGGCGTTCATCCTGAGAAGGATGTCTCCGTGCCCATCAACTGGGCCTACAACCACCACTACATGGCATCTCTGCCATAAATGGAGGTTTTACGAACATAGGGGACCCCCAATATAGATCCCCACATAGCAGGATTCCCTAAACAATAAGGACCCCAACGAGGTACCCCTAGTCCCTAATACCTAATCCCTGATCCCTAATCCCAAACCCTAAACCCCAAACCCTCAACCCCAAACCCTAAACCCTAAACCCTAAACCCTAAACCATGAGGTACCCCCCCCAAAATGGCCCCCAGGGAGAGTTTTCATGTCGCAAAGCGCGAGCGATCCCAAGGGGAGCTTCATAAACCCTAAAGACCCTAAAGACCCAAAAGGCCCTAAAGGCCCTAAAGGCCCAATATGCCCTAAAACACCCCAAAACCTTAAACAAAAAGCACCTTAAAGCCCAAAAACCAAATACAAAAACCTGAAAACACTCAAAACCTACGAAACACCCACAACCAAAAACAAGCAAACCCTTAAAACCAAAAAAGGACCTACGACCCAAACAATCCTAAACACCCGCCCTGACCCTAACAACCCCAAAAGCCCTAACAAACAAAAAAACCTAAAACCCTCAACGCCCAAATCCGAAAGCCAGAGTTGTACATGGGCCATTACACCCTATAACCCCCTTAAGAAGGCCCCTTATAGGGTTGGTTAGGGAACACCCTAAACCCTAAACCCTAAACCCTAAACCCTAAACCCTAAACCCTAAACCCTAAACCCTAAACCCTAAACCCTAAACCCTAAGAGCCCATGCTGGCAGGCCTTCATGACGGGCACCCACTCCGAGTTGAGGAGGGTCGCCGCGGCCCCCGGATCTTTGGCTTTAGGGATTTAGGGGTTTAGGGTTTGGGGTTTAGGGTTCAGGGTTTAGGGTTTGGGTTTTAGGGTTTAGGGTTTAGGGGTTTAGGGGTTTAGGGGTTTAGGGGTTTAGGGTGTTTAGGGTGTTTAGGGTGTTTAGGGGTGTTTAGGGTGTTTAGGGGTGTTAGGGGTTTAGGGGTTTAGGGTGTTTAGGGGTTGAGTGGGTTTAGGGGGTTTAGGGGGTTTAGGGGGTTTAGTGGGTTTAGGGGTTTAGTGGGTTTAGTGGGTTAGGGGTTGAGGGGGTTTAGGGCTTTAGGGGTTTGGGGTGTTTAGGGGTTTAGGGGTTTAGGGGGTTTAGTGGGTTTAGGGGTTTAGGGGGGTTTAGGGGTTTAGAGGTTTAGGGGTTTAGGGGTTTAGGGGTTTAGGGGTTTAGGGTGTTTAGGGTGTTTAGGGGTGTAGGGGTTTTGGGGGTTTAGTGGGTTTAGGGTGGTTAAGGGTTCAAGAGTTCGTCGTGGCTTAGACAGGTTTGGCGGTTTAGGAGTTTAAGGAGTTTTGAGCTCTGGGGGGCTGGGGTTGAGGAGTTCACAGGGTATTGAGGAGGCCTTTGCGCTGAGGAGTTTCATGAGTTATGGGCTTAGGCTTGAGCAGTTCAGGGAATGGCACACTTAGGGTGAGGAGTCTGGTTTTTTTCTTTTGGAGTTTCTGGTTTAGCCCTCAGCTTATAACCCTAAACCCTAAACCCTAAACCCTAAACCCTAAACCCTAAACCCTAAACCCTAAACCCTAAACCCTAAACCTCAAGGAGACCCTATGGCTCATGGGGCGAACAGCAAGCTGATGGCAGTGGACCGGCCCACTGCGGCCTTGCGCCAGGACACGTCGATCCCGACCTCCCAGTTCTTCTCCGAGGGGAGGCTTTGGTGAAGTTTAGGGTTTAGGGTTTAGGGTTTAGGGTTTAGGGTTTAGGGTTTAGGGCTCCAGGGGAGCCTACTGTAAATCACTATCATCATCCCCTCATAGTCCCGTTTCTTATAGCCTCTAGACAAGCTAGCCGTTCTCATTATTTGGTGAGGCTGCTATTTTGTTTTGCTTGTTGGTTATCGATTTCGGGTTAGGGTTTAGGGTTTTCAGGGTTCAGGACGGTTTCTTGGTCGGCGTAGGGGTCTACAGGTTTAGGGGTGGAGGAAAAACTACAACCCTCAACCCTAAACCCTCATAACCTTGTAACCCTGTAACCCTAGGTAACCCTTTAACCCTAGGAATGGGGGCGAGTCCCGAAAATCCTTCCATGGCTACCCTGACGGCTATGCTCAGCTGATCGAGTCGCCAGACCTCTGGCACATCACTCCGATGCAGGTGGGCTTCAGGGTTTAGGGTTTAGGGCTTAGGGTTTAGGGTTTAGGGTTTAGGATTCAGGGTTTAGGGCTTAGGGCTTAGGGCTTAAGGGTTAGGTTTTGTTTTGCTTCCGGTGGGAATCCCCGGTCTTCTGAGCCGAGGCCCTCGTCTTTCGTCTACATGGGTTTAGGGTTTAGGGTTTAGCGTGTAGGGTTTAGGGTTTAGGGTTTAGGGTTTTCGGGTCCTAATAAGCCAGCATCCCCCTGAGATCGACACGCGCAATCGCGACTGCGGCGCCACGCCCGCCAGCATCACGAACTGCACCAAGCTACTTGGGTATTTCCCACAATTAGGGGAGTTTAGGGTTAGGGTTTATAGGGTATAGGGTATAGGGTTTAGGGTTTAGGGTTGTGGGGTATTTCCCACAATTAGGGGGGTACCCTGTTTAGGAGTCCCTTTATAAGGGATTCTATTCTTTTTT